TAGTGTTTATTTAGAGTTTTCTGTAACTTATTCTACCCTTGTTTTGCTTTATTTTCTTTTCTTGTAATTTGTACTAATTTCTACTCCATCTTCTACAAGAAAGTTATCTTAGACTGTGAATAATTTGAGAGAACTTTTTTGATTGTTAAATATTATCATCCTGTTTAATGCTACTGAGCACCAACTGTTATGAGCATCTGTTGCTGTTTAAATGTACAAAGCAGCAGCTATATGCAAGTCATTAATGAAGTGCTAGAATCTAGGCTAATGCTTCCCACTTGCTATGTTTCTATACTTAGCCAGTAGAAGTTCAATTTCGGTCAAATATTTTATTTTATAGAGGTTAATTTAGTAGCTGCAACCTCAAGCTGTTTTAAAAAAAAAAAAAAAAAAACCCACCCATGATAAGCCGGTCTTGAAAGTCGTGATATCGTGCTTATTCTTCCCTTCTCACATTAAGCAAATCATAACTAAAAATTCTGACACTTTTTCTAGCCAGTGTTTTGCTTTAAGCTTTTGTTATTGTGTGCAAGGGAAAACTTTAAGCTGAAAAGCCAAAGGTTAACCTATAAAGCTGTTCATGTCTGTCACATGAAGATGCACGTTCCACAGTTTGCTCTTAGTAGAAATGAACTACAAGAATTCGTTCATCTTAATTGTTTTGCTTGAATCTCATATTTTCTGTACCAAGGCTATAAAATGCAACTGGAAAGAAAACTGTGAATATTTAAGAATGCAATGCATTCTTTCTATGCATGGATGGCTCCCCGTGACTTTTAAATAGATATTTACATGAACTACAGGTTTCCACAGTTATGAACATTTTTGCAACACCTTGATAACTGCAAGAAAAAATCGTATTGAAGCTAACTTTTCTGTAGTTTAGTACCATAATCATATTTATAGGTATTAAAAATCAGTTTTCATGTTCAAAACTTAAAATCATTTTAGTTTCATTATGCAGTCTACCAACTATATAATTAAAAGTATCCATAGTAAAGGCAATTGAAATAGTTACTAGAATTAACTGCTTAAATAGACCTTTCTTCACTTAAGAATTGTTCTATGCCAGAGATCCTAGTTTTCCTTCAGCTCTTCTGTGTTCCTGCTTCCTGTTACCCAATGACTTTTCCTTTGGTGAAGTGTTGTTTTAAAAAAAAAAACAAACAAACAAAAAAAACCCCAAACGTGAGTTTTATGAGGCAGGCAGCAGAGTAATTTCAGCAGTTAAGCTGGAACAGATGTATTGCGCAAAAATCTACCAATGTTCCCTGCTTTGAACACCACAGAAATGGAGAAGCTTCCCATGTCACGTAAAGGAGTTCTCCTGCAGGTGTCCGCTATTTCATGGGCTTGTTATGTTACAGAAATTGGCAATGTTGTGTTAGTCTTGCCTTCTCAGAGGTTCACCCCTTCTGCCCCTGGTCAGGGAATGACTATCTGATGCTTTCTATCACTCTGTCCCGTGGTTATTGTCTGCATCTTTTTAGTTTCCTTCTGTTACTTTTTTTCAAGTACTGCCATTACCCATTTCCTGTCACTCAGTGCCCTGCTGCACATGGATCTTTTTTCATTAAATTGTAAGCAATGTAATAAATGAAAAAATCCTTTTTAATTTATTAAACAGTTTTAATTTGGAACTGCCTTTCATTTTAAAATTTTCTTATGTACCATGTATAATAATGCCTACCAATTATAAATGACTAAATAGAACATTTGAATGAATTACTTTCAGATTGAATACAATTTCTTACTCAAACTGAAAAATACTTTTGCTTTTTGGAGCTATCACTATGTTAAAACATAGTCCTGTAGTTCCACAGCTTATCTAAATCTACATTTTTTACAGTCACTTCTGAAATGGTGCTCAGCACCATGATCTTGTGTGTTGTTTCAGCTTAACAACATGAAAGCACATTTTGTTGGTGATGGAATTTTCTTCAGAGTTTAAACTGTTTGGAATTCCTCTATGCAAGAAATGCCAAGCATATAAAGTCTTATCTTTTGTATGTTTTCTGTATTATTAAATGCAAGATCTAATTGTCCAACAAGAAATAGTGAGAAAGAGGACTAAAACTGTAACAGAATGTTACTGGCAGTCTTCTAAAACATTAATTTGTTGTAATTGTTTAAAAAAGAAAAAAGTGGCAAAAACGGACGTTTTAGCAATCAGACTAAGAACATCTTCTTTCAACCAGTTGACTTTAAATTTTGTCTGTTAAGGTTTTGTCATTTTACCATCTGCCTAGGTATATGGACCCAATATTCTAACGTAAGGACCACCTCTGTGAAAGGAGGAAAATCTGTAAGGGATCAGATCTGCAGAAAAGTAAAGCTGATCATGAGCAGGTTATTGTCATTTAATGACAGAGATAGACTGAGGTTGAAAAAATGCTTAATTAAAAATAGGTGCTTGCCATTGTCTACTGTACTACACAGCTTTTTTTGTCAGCAGTATTAACTTTCAGAGAAGGCAGATACAAAGTTGAAATAATTCCATTTTATCTGTCCAGTCTCTGAATGGGGTTTACCAACAGACTGTGTACAGAGGCGTTATTAAGCATACGAGTGAACGGTCATCTGGTTGTTTTCTGCTGTCACCTGTATGTTTCTCTCCATGTTGCTATGTGGGTTTTTTTCTGTATTTATTTACTGACTTTCAGCTGAAATGCGTTTTTCTTTGGGTGTTGTGAAAATTTGCTGAAAGCAGAGACTCAGGTGCACGTGGGGTAAGCACTGAGATACATATTGCCTGGGACAAAGAAAGAGAAGAATTTAAAGATCTTGGCAGACGGCTTAGGCTCTCAGTGATCTGTAGCGAGGTTGGTCTCAGGAAGAAAAGGTAATTCTACCCAGGCTTCAGAAATATTTCACAAGATCCTCATTGAATAGAGTCAAAGACCTGCAAGTGAATCTTGTGCTATGCCATATTCATTGCCTTAAAATGGAGATTTTGAGAATTCTGCAGTTTTAATTTATATAATGCCATATTGTAATTTGTGAATATGGGATTGACAAGTTTTCTCGGTTTCTCTGAGATGATGAATTTAGTCTACTTACTAGTGGGTACACTCTGACTTGACCAAAACTACTTTAATAGACTAAACAAATTCCATGCAGATTTGGGCACGCAGAAGTGTCAGTAATGTAAGTAACAGTATTTCTAAATCTGTTGGCGCTTTTATAGATTAGATATTTCTACTACATACGTTTTCAAGCACCAGTGCCTGAATTCACACAACTGCAGTGTTCCTGTTGTAACTAATACTTGTGGCTTGTCCCATAAAAATCACAGGTACTCTATTAGATTGTCAGGTGCCATCTGCAAGGTGTACAATGCCTATCAGAAGCACAATTATCCCAGAAATTGACATTTCATCACTTACATAGTTATTAAGAATTTTACACTGAAATCCTTTCAAACCGCAGGAAGTTTGTGGAATCCAAACTTGTCTGTCTGTAAAACAGACAAAGAATTAGAAGTGAATTTTACAAGCAGGCTGGGGCTGGAATATTTCATACTCCTTTATGAGTGTCAAAGTACGAACTACTTGGAAAAAAAAAAAAAAGTGGAAGAAAAAGTAACTTTCTACTAAATGCTAATACATTGAAAGCATACTCCTGCAAGTTCTCCTCCTATACTAGCACAGCAGGAGGCATGTTTTGCCATTGCAGTCAAATCAGCAGAGCTGGCCAGCAAATACTGAGGGACGTAGTCTAGAAGAAATGTGGCTGTGCTCTGCTATTACAATATATTATTTGCTTTTTTGAGATGGTATCCTTTTTTTTTTAAGGATATATTTAAAATATATTATGTTTATATTATGTTCGGAGTGAGATTAATCTGAAAAAGAAAATATATAAAACTTCAGTCACTGGTTAGACAAGGCTTACCTGACATGAAACTCATCCTTAATTGCATTTCCTACTAAGATGTTTGTCTTGTTTAATTAGACAAGCATATGTAAAGATAATATACGCATGATCTATGATACTGGTCTTAAGAATAGCTAGTAATTTTTAAAAAACTATTAATACAATTTTAAATGCAAATAAACATTAAGTGCATAATTTAACTTACTAATGACTCCTGTTGTAACAAATGTCTTTTGACTTTCTTCTCCCCTCCACACTTTTCTTTGGGATTTTATTCCACAATCAAATAAATGAAACTAGAATTTCTGTCAGGATACCGAGGAGTGATGAAAACACCGATATTTTTATAGAGGTAAGTAACATTTTTGATTTAAGTGAAAAGAGTAGTTTCTTATGTACATATATATGTATATGTCTTATATGTATATAGCTATTGTCAACTTTTTATATCAAGTAAATAATTTTAAAAATATTATCACTTACAGTCTATATGTTTCTGGGTGTATGATTTATGATTAAATTTCATCCTGAAAAGGGAAAATATTTTAAAGGCTCCTTCTTAGAAATAAATAACTTAAGTGTGTTTTTAGTGAAGTGGAACTAAGTTATCATTTACAGAGTTTTGTAATGAGAGTTAAAACTAGTTAAAAATGCTACAGATACAGACAAGAGAAAACTACTAACTTAAGAATTTCAGCTGCAGTCAAGATTTCCAAGACTGGCAGTAATATAAAACCTAGAATAGAAAGGGCTGTGTCCTTTCACAATATTTGGAGCTTCTAACTGCAGCTGAGTAACTATAGCATTTTTTCCTCCTGCTACCTACTAAATCCATTACTAAACACTATATAACTTTGAAATAAACTTGTGCTCAACTGAAACTATTAGAAATAATTAGTTGTGGTAATACCAGAACATAGTCCATCAAGTAGGTCTTGCTCTCCCCTCTCTAGAGTTGTGAAATTAATTGAGGGAATTGTTGGGTGCAGTTAAGCAGCACTCTTTTTCTAGCCTGACTTAAAGGCTGTTTCTGTGAGTATGTTACTTTGAGTTACAGTATGCATTTATACTATCTTTGACACAGTGCTGTAAGAACGATGTAGCTTTGAAAGTGGAGTAATATACCTCCGCCTTCAGCGTGTCCAGGTGTCAGCACCCGCTGGTGAGAAGTTTTGAAATGCTTGCTGTAGAGAACCAGTTGTAGATCAACAAAGCCTAACAAGATCTTTGTACATACGTACTTCTACAGTCACAATCTAGCTGCTTTTGTATAACTCTCTCTCTATATATATTTATAAGCTATGATTGGAATTCTAGACCTTTTAAAAATAGCACCACCAAAAACCTAGCAGGAACATCTAATCTTGCCAGAGTAAGATCTAAAGTTTTGAATTCTTTGTGTAGATCTTCAATAAAAGGCAGACAGAGGTCACAGTCTTAAATGAAATAGAGGAATGTAACCACAGCATGCAGTACAATACGTTCAGGTACTTACAGACTCAAGTGGCTGGAAGTATTCTTTTTTCTCCAGAACTTGTATTGACAGCAGATTAAAAATAAGTCAGTTCTTTCTAGACATGACATTAATTGCTCTTTGATTTTTACTATCTTGTTAGAAGTGTTCTAATAGTTTTTATCTAGATTCAAATTGCAGATACAGATTTGAGGTGGTGGGACTCTCCTTAACAGAAATTAAAACCACAAATGGCATCCTGGTCTTTGATCACTTTTGTAACTGAAGATTACTGGTCGGGGGCAAATGCCCACTTGCTCATACCATAGGATTGAGATTAGTCCTGGCTGTGAAACAACAGACATAGCTCTCTTAGGTGTGCTTTACTGTTTTTTTTAAATAGGGAGAAGAGTGGATAACTAGCCAGCAACAGTGAGAAATTAACAAGAGTTCTCGAGGGTGAGAACAGGCAAGAAAAAATAATCCACTTTTACATTCTAAAAGTTTTTCCAATATATAATACAATTTATTTTAGAAGCAAAATACCAAAAACAGTAGTACAAGTCCTCCGTTTCACTTCTTTCACGGTGATCGCTTACATAACAATTTTTTTTCTCCTAGTAACACTAGAGTAGGAATCAGAATGCCTTGTTAAGTCCACAGATTGCAGTCTGCAGCTCTTGCTTCTGTGGTAATGTATGTGCATCTGGAATGAATCTTGGCTTAACATCTGCCACTTCAGTATTTAATACATCAAATACCCATCTTCTGCATTTTTAATATACAAGACAACCTATATTATATAGATACGAATTTGGAGACAACTGTGACACTGTACATACAGAATTCAATCAATACAATTTAAAAGATGCGGTATAGCAATGCTGAAGGTAATACCTTCTCACTCAGTAGTTGCACTACTTCTGGAAAAATCTCAGACTCAGTTTCAGTAAAATACAAAAACACTCAGCAGTAGCAGATCAATACCTCTGCACTGGAACAAGTGGCATTTGGGGAAAGGAATGTTTAATTAAACATACTCCACGGTAAACATATCAATTACCACACAAATGCAGCTCGCTCTCGTAACATTCTGACACCAAAACGTTGCCATTCTCGCTGATATATCCATAGCTCCTGAGTTGTATCAAGACAGGCCAAAACTGCACCTCCTTTCCACGCAATTAAGCGGGGATCCATATCCTAAATTCAAAACACAGATTGTGTACAATCACTGGTCTGATTTTTCAGTTTTCAAAACTTGCATCCTATTTATTCCAAGAGGATACATCACTGCATGGAATCTTGGGGATAAAGAGAGGAGAAAAGAATTTTTCCCAAACTTACTCAGAAAAAGAGACTCTCCATGTTAATATGATAAATATATGGAAAGAATATTAAATGAAGTGTTTTGAGGAGTCACTCTTTTTATAGTATGTCTTACAGGCGTATGGGGAAAATCCTTCCTTCAGTCTTTGAATAATACCTGAATTTTGATTTTACAAATTTGGCTGATACTTGCCAAATGAAACTTACTGTTTCTAATCCATACTTTCTTTTGCCTTAATAAGAAAAAAAAAAACAAACCCCAAAAGAGGGGGTCTCAACCAATCATGGTTTCCCAACTCAACCATTTAGCTATTGGTTAACAGTGTACCTTAGGTCTTGTAATGACTTCAACATTTTCAACAACTCTTCTGAAAGAGGGTGGCATTTTGTTGAGAATTCGGTGTTGAAGAAACTCTTGAGCTTTATGAAACATAAGGCCTCCTCCCACTACTAGGATGGAGCTGTACATCTTCTTTTTTGTATCGTCAGATGCTGGAATAAATTGATACAAGAAAATTATATGTAGTTTAAAGCTAACAGGCTTGTATTTAGCTTATAAAGAATTTAGTACAGGTCAAACCAGATAGAAACTGAGAAGCATTTGCTTTTAAAATACTTTTTCTGTTCCTTGGGCTTCAAAAGATCTAGCTAAAGCAACCTTAAAAGAATTAATATAGAACGAACAGCATAGCTATCCTAGAAAAGATAAAATTAAGATATTACTTTGGTAAAATAGAGAGAGCTACCATGAATCCACGTTAATTGACTGATATGTGTATTTTACAGGATTACACAAATGCAATTCTTACCACAGCAATCAATACTATGAAGAATGGCTTTGTCAAGGCCTAAGGCTTTGCCTTCAAACTGAGAGATAGCTGTTTTCCTGGACATGTGTGCAGTTAAAGGTTCCTCTGAATCATTTCCAGATATCATACAATCACCCTGAGAAGATCCCAGTTCCACTTCTTGAGGGTAGATCCTCTCTGAAATGTCTGAGGCCTGGCCTCGCAAGTCTCCCTCAAATGCACCAGGCTTGGACATAGATTTTCTATCAGCCGTAGCTTTCGCAGACTTCAAAATGAGAAAACAAGTTGATCTTTAAACTATGAAAGACAAAGATCTTCAGCAGGTTCCATAATAATATAAAGACTTAAATAAGCACTTCACTTCTCTTTACCTTTCTCCACAGAAATGTTTAACATTACATTACTGCCTGCATTACCAGCTATTTTTATTTTAAATCCCAAAGGTTTTTATTTTGAACTGCATCAGATACATCAATGCCATAAAATGCAGACTTCTCAGACTCTGAAAATACCCGGTTCTAATCAAGGACTTGTCTAGATAATTGCAATTCCTTACTTTAAATCTATTCCTCAGTGCTGTTCACAAACTTCATTTTCAGAGATGAGCAAAACAAGTTTTGTTTGCATTCTACAATTAAATAACACTTTATGAGCAACGAAACAAGTGTTCACATACCTGCTCCTGCTTGCTTTGTGTGGCTAACAGGTAATGCTCATCATGAGGATCCTCAGGGTCACCTTGTGACCTGTGTTGCAAATTTGTCATTTTTTGCCCAACAATTCCAAAAGTTGCTGGATAAAACAGAGCCATTGGAGCCTGAAGAAGGGAGATTTGGTATGACTTTACTGAATAGTTTTTTTCCTTTTTATTACTTACTACAGAAAAGGAAAAGCTTGCTTTATTTTTATTTTCTCACAATTCAAAATTAATAGACATTTTCAAATAGGTTTGTAATAGGCTGAAGTATGCAAGTTTTGTGTAAATTTTTTTAAGTACAAAAACTGCTTATACATCCACATATAGATGTAGATTTACAGATTATGGTATTGTATGATGAACAAATATTCAAATATAGTTTGTAACAAGCTATGAAAACTCAGAGGTGAAAAAACTGCAAGATCAGCATTCCTTCCTTGCCTCTGACGGATAAACATCATCGTATTGAAGTGAAGCTCCTAGCCTTAGTTAAAACGGTAAGTCTTGTGCATCTACTAGAGCAGTGTTAGGCACATTCATATGTTTAGTAATTCATTTCAACACTATCACCAAACAAGGTTAAACACAAGCCATAAATCACACAGGCTTAGCGAGGCAAGGATACAAGTGAGACCCAGAGCCCGAAAACACCTTTATATATATATATGTGTATATATATATTTTTTTCTTTTAAGATCACCTGTAATTTTTCATCCCCTAATCGAAACTGGTATAATAAAGCGGGAGAATCTGGATGACGAATTTGGAACTCATGGTCTTGCAGTCCAGAAATATCCTGAGGTTTAAAAAAAAAAGATAACAAAATTAGATCTTTTTATCACTATATCAAACTGCTTAGCCTATTTAATACGTGGGCAACAACCTAAAAAATAAAAATATGCTTCAGACTCTGAATTTCATACATGTATTCTTGAATTTTTTTTAGAAGTCTTTTCCTTGTAGAATGATCTGCCAGAGCAGCTTTCTACATGCATAACGTTCTACAATAAGGTTTTGTGTGGAAAGAAGAGCCCTGCTGACAGCTCTTACAAAACTGAAGCTGGAAAAACAGCATATATACACTACTGCTATAAAGAACAAAAAAACTTCCTTTCCAAAGTAGACTAAATTAAAAATACTTCAAGTCTAAGCCTTCTCCAACTCCTGCTGGTATGCTACTGAGTAAATCATTGTATTTTCTACGTCCCTTTGCCTACAACTCCCCCATATCTAATAATTAAAAATATACCCATTACAGAGGGCTGCATGAGGTCACTGTTCTGTACCTTAAAAATAAACTATGCGATGCACAAACATAACATTTCAAGTGTCATGCATCTTCATCTCATACATCTCTAACCACTGCATATACTGTAATGATTTTATGTATTTTTTCCCATTAACTGCAAGAAATTGTGAACTCACGAACAGACTCCCCAGAGTAGCATTCCATAGGGAATGGGGAAAATTTACGTGGAGAATTCACCATATTCCCTTGTCACCTGGTCTAGATGACAGAACGTCTCCTTTAAGTGCTGAAGCAGAAGGCAATCCAACTTATTAGTTAACTGACAGTCTCTATATGGGAACCCAGCTCGTTGCATAAGCCAGTAAAAACACCTTGATACATCAGATCCTCCATATGCAAGGCACAACCTAAAGCACAGAGAGGAAAACAAAACAAAAATTACTCTTTGAAATCCTAGCCTTCTACAGTAGCAGACATAGGAATAAGAAACATTTAAAACATGCTATGATCACAACTTCCACATAGTTTGCAGAGCACAGGGTCAGTTCTGCATTGTTCTTCTTTTAAACATGGCAGATCTTTAGGGTTCATATTATTGTAACATGATGAGTTTTGTTACACAACTCACAGTAAAAACGTTATATTTGTAAAACATTTTCCTAATTTTTATAGTCAACTCTTTGCATAAGTAACTACGTATGTGCTTATAATAATTCTGCACAGTAAAAGATACCTGGTGTTGCGATGGGAAACACCATCTTCTACACAGCAAACGCTTGTCTTCTGATCTCCCACATCTACTATACATGCACTGCTTAAACCACTTCCAAAAGTAGCGCACACAGACTCCTGATGTACCACAATTCCTAGCAGTATAAGGAGAGAAAAAAAAAAAAATTATCTGTTCCATGCCAAACTTCAAAGTCATGTTTCTGACATTTAGAGAACATCTTAATATCTTTTAAAATGTACTAATAGCCTGATTTGCACTGAAAGTTTATGTACTTAATAAGTAAGTGGGTTGGGGAGGTGGACAGACTTATTGTTGGTTAAGTCCTAGAGTCCTGAGAAAAGCTAAAAGAGCAGGATAGATGCCTATGTTCACACGTTCTTCTTTTTGTGAGAATAAAGACAGTCTCCAGACTCAACTCATTCTTGCAACCAGTACTGCAAGGTCTTGGCTACCAGATGCACATGAAATGTTTTTCTTAATTTTTCTAGTTTTATCTATCACTCTCCTTAGCATTTTAAATGTCATCTTTATTAAATAGATAAAAAAGCAGTCTGATTTTACCCTCTGCTTCCCTTTCAACCTACCTTTAACTGTAAAGAACTACTTTCGTATTTACATTACAAGCTCATATGTAAACTTGAGAAGTACTGCACGCTTCGCAGTCTCTCCTTTAAACGAGTGAAAGAAAAGACTAGCTCAACTGGCCTATGCTTATAGACAAAAACTAAGCGACACTAATGTTTTCAAGGCAAATGTTTGTTTTTATAAGAATTTAGTTATGCTGTGTAATTAGTTCAGCTCTTCACTAAGTATTTAGCAAATGGCACACTCACTCAAGAGGAGTTATTAATGTTATTTCTCGATTTTTCACTTTCATGTATTTGATTTGCCAAACAAAAACAGGAAGCTTTACATTTTTCCTTAGTAGTCTTCCTTTTCCTCTGAAGCTAACTGCAATGTCTTTTATGCTTGCCCTCCTACATTTTTTATGTAGTAGCATTACTAAGTAGGTACTGTTGATCTTACTACTATGCACAAACCTATGAGGAATCAAGTAGGGTATGATTTAGAACTATTCTAGTCAAAAACCAAAAATAAAAGCCAATATAGCTAGTTCATTTTAATCTGGTGGAACAAATCAAATTTTGTTCAAATGCACGAATATATATGGTGAGACTGATCTCTATTTTTACAGTGTTTCCCACTTAATTCTTTTGGATGGAAAAATCTCTTCGCCACATGAGTGACCTCTGATTACAGAAGAGGCTAAACAGGTTCAACAGTCAAGCAAGAATATCTAAGCCTATATACTGCTGAGAGTAATGCTTGGGAACTCTTTACCTCATATTAATTAATTATTAAAAGATAGCAGTTTTACTCTCCAGCATCCTGCAATTAATTTAGTGTTTGAATATTCTCTATCATTTAGCTATTATCCTTGTTTGTTGGTACAGAGAACATTTTAATCTCAGCTGAAATGAGAAGCCCTCAGTTGGAGTATCTAATAGCAAAGAAGAAACTTGCTCCAACACTAGCCAATCCTTTTGCCTTACTGAAAGGGACAAGTTACGGGAATAGCAAAGGATGAAGGGTGCTAATGTCAGAACAGTAAGCTGCGATTGGCCCACAAAAATGTGACTTAGAAGAGAAAAAATAAATCTTTATGCTATATATTACTCATTAAATGTTAGTTTATACATGGTTGTACCTGAGAAGCCCATCTTCATTAGGATCATATTTACCAGTTCTTTCACGTGTTGTTTATTATAGATGTCTGGAATTAGCAAAATGCATCTGTAGTACTGGAGACAAGAACAGTGAATTAATGCCAGCTCTCAAATTAAAAGTTCTCTTTGTATGCTTGAATACCTGATGCCAAGGAAGAAAACATAGCATAAAAGGTGCAAAAAAGAAGCAGAACTTATGGAAAGAGGAAACATTTTCAGTAATTTAAAAATCAGTTGAGGGTAAGTACCAAGTTAGGAGTTTCTAGGTCATTAAAATGTTTAAAAGTATATCATATAGGAGAAAAACACCTACTCAGCAAGGAAGAAAAAATTATGCAAGCATTAGGTATGTATTCCTCAATGCTCTCCTTTTTAGCCAACACATAAAAACAGAATAAGATGGTGAAATTTCTAGAATTGGATTTCCAAACCTCTTTGTTAAAAGCATTATTATCAAATTTTGTCTTAAAAGGGGCACGCACAAATCCAAATAAAGTCTTAGGAACCATGCTCACCAGCAAAAATAATTTATCTATTAAGGAAACCACCAGTAAGAAGCTTAGAAATAACTACAGGTTGCTTCTCTTAAATTTTAAAAACAACATTTCCAGAAGTAGATACAGCCCAAATTAACATGTTCATATCTCACCTTTAGGTCCTTCAATGGTATTTCCAGATATTTTTGTATTGCATGTGACCATATAACTTCAAGATCTGCTAATACTGCAGTGAGGGAACCACCAGGTCCTGCGTGGAGATTCAGCTGCCCTCTTCTAATAGGCCAGTGAATATTGTAAGAATCTAGCGGATTAACATATAGCGCCTGAAAATAAGAGAAAGTTGTATGCATTCTATGCATTGTTCTATGCAGTGTTTTTGTCTTCCCCAAAAGGTTAATAACAAATACTGGAAAATCATTTCAGAAGCAGACGGAACAAGATACATAGCACCACTCTGATTGATGTGACAGCAATACAAACAGTGGATTTCTTTATAACAGGGCTGGATTATAAAGTGTTTTTAAAAAAAAGACATTAAAATACATGGTTTAAAACATTTGAATTTTCATATCCATAGATATCTATTATGGACATAACAGTACGTTTTTCCATTATCTCAAATGAGTTAGTGAAATAATTTACAAATTCTTTGAAGCTCAGGAATACCTCATTATTCAGCAGTCATTCATATGCTGATCCTTCTACCACTTTCTTGCCTTTTCTCTGAATTATACCATATATGCAAAGTTCTCACCGAGTCCCTACACAAATGCTGATTTATAGCAACCATATACTATGGCTATGGAAATACAGCAAACTGCTACTGATTAAACAGCTGCATTAAAACACTATGTTAAGCCTCATTTCAACATGCATCTTACCTCTTCTCCTACCAAATATTCTGGATGATTTGATGTGTTTGTCCACTTGGCCCCAGAGCTGTGATCCAAAATAGCTGGCCGCATCTGTCTGTTGTATGACCTAGCCTGAAATGTAATTAAGTCATATGTTGCTGATACATACTTCATCAGTCACTTTTTATGTATGAAAGCAAAAAAAAAAAAAAAAAAAAAAGCACCCTATAAGTCTGCATTTTCTTTTTTAGTCTTTGGCGTTAAGGCACAAATCAGCACCATCTATCTTTGCTGTATAAAGCAGCATGTACCCATTCTCATTCATTAAAACACAGTACCACACCAAATGATGATATGAATGAATAATTTAATAAAATCTTAAGAATGAGTTACCTGATCAGGTGACACTGGTATACGCCTTGCACCGTTTGACATCTTTTTGGACCATATTGCTTGGTCCACCATTTTAAGGCCATTTTGTCTCTGCTCAGTACTTTCAGGTTTCTAAACAAAAAACTCAAATATTTAACATACAAGACCATGGGAAGAATAAAAGGTTTGTACAGTGAACATATACTACTTTTTAAATAAAGTCTTTTGTATTACAGCTCTCAACACAGATCTGTCAAAGCCAGCTCAAATTTTTCAATGGATTTTAATGGCTCCTGCACTTGATCTCCAATCTGGTGAGCTCAGGACGTTGTCTATTTAACTAAAGAATACTAAGTGAGAGTAAAAATATTTAAATAGTTTTCAATTGTTTAAAAATGAAATTTAGTATTAGAGAGAGTAATTTGATTAATGAATTTTAGTAGAGTTACAAATTATGCGTGAGAACATTATATATATTTTTAGAACCGTTTAGACTAAAATTCCTAACTTCTAATTCAACTTGTAAACAAAACAATCCCAAATGGGGTAGTTTTATAATTTCAGTTCTACAAACGCTTAAGAAGATTGTGTGGTATCAGACCACAGAACAGGAAAAAAAATCAGTAAGAACTCTCAACCGATCCAATTCATTAGATGTAGTTCACTGGTGAACAAATCCAGGGAAGCCCTAACGTAAACTAGCGCAAGTCAATTTTGATGAAGTGGCATCTAAAGCGCAACGAAGGAAAGGAAGGTGGTACCCATGAGTATTTTGCTACGGAAAAGCAGCAAGGCAGGAGGGGAAAGGCCCTGCCGCTGTGCGTTGCTGTGCCGCTTACGTTGAGCCCGTCGCGCAGGAGCCAGCTGTCGCGGTAGGCGGGCTGCCCGGGCTGCTTGTGCCGCCGCGCCAGCACGTGGGGGATGCCCACGGGCAGCGTGTCCGTGGCTCTCCCGAGCCTCAGCGAGGTCGACCCCGGG